TGATGTTCAAGGCATCCTGGTATAAAAGAAACATGTCTGGACTTGGAGCAAAAGAAATTAGCCATTTGCTAAATTTGACTATGAGCAAGTCACTTAACTCTCTGAGCCTGAGCCTTCTTATCTATTAAATAAAGATCATCTTTGTCCTGTCCAATTCACAAGGATGTTGAGAGGGTGTGATAAAATAATCTAAGTAAAAGAGCAGAATATAAAGTGCTACCAAGTGCATTGTTAATTTTTTTTAAGATTTTTTTTTTTTTTTAATTTAAGAGAGAGAGAGTGAAAGAGAACATGAGAAGGGAGAAGGTCAGAGGGAGAAACAGACTCCCCGTGGAGCTGGGAGCCCGATGCTGGACTCGATCCCCAGATTCCGGGATCATGAGCTGAGCCCAAGGCAATTGCTTAACCAACTGAGCCATCCAGGCGCCCCCCTAAGCACTAGCTGGTGCTGGGCACTTTGTGACATCTCCACAGGGATTTTTGTCTTGGATGGGAGTGTGAACTAAATGACTCAAATCCTTTCCAACTCATATGTACTATGATTGTGACACATAAATCCATTACTTAGCCGTTTCTATAAGATGTGTCTTTAAGTTTTGGATAGAGAGAGCTGAGTTAAAATGTGAAAATATTTATAGTATGATGTAGTATGATATAGGTCAAAGAGCAAAAAATGCCAAAGAGCTTGTGTTTTTGTTTAATGGTGGACAAAGATCTTACAGTAAAATCTGTGTGTGATTCTTTAGGAAGGGGGAAATCCAAATGTCCAATTTCCCCAGGTTTGTTGAAGCCTCTGTCTGTCAGCACTGCAGCCATATTTAGCAGGCACCAAAGAGAAAGGAGGTCCCTTAAATGAAAACATCAGTGATTGGGGTTTTAAGGAATTGCAGATTACTAGGAAGGTCCCTGCCACTCAGGGACTCCCTGGTGACTTGGAAATCTTGCTGGCTGCTGGCAGTAGTTTGCATGGAGACTGAATTTTATTTCAGCCCTTTTGAAAAAGTAAAGAAACCACAAATCCAGTAGCTGTTCAAAGCAACAAAGAAGGTGCCTTTGGCTTCTAACAGGAGAGTCTCTGAATTCCTCAAGGAATTCCAGGCCTAGGGTTGATCCAGCTGGCAGGGAGGTATCGATCTCCACTTGAATTCGCTGAATAAATAATGGTTGCCATAGTTATTGAGCAGTCACAACTGGTTGGAGAGCAGGGAAAACTCTGAGGCACCTTCTGTGAGTTTGGCCATGACAAAGTCTAGTTATTAGGTTCTATAATCAACCCCCTCCCCAAATCCAGCCAGCACTGTGCTCCATTTCTTTGCCTGAAGACAAATATGGGATCTTGAATATAATGCAAGACATGGGGCACTGGAAGGAAGGCAAAGTTGAAATCAGTGGATTGGTATTTTATTCTGGGAAAAGCGTCTCTCCTGGGTTGTGAACCTAATTCGATATAGCTTGGTATTAATAGAATTTACTATCAGCAAGATGACTGTTTGATCATGTTACAGCTGCGAGAGAGACCAAATCCCACATCGTTCTAGGCTAGCAGTTTAATATACAAATACTGCTAACTTGGAAATTTTAAAAGAAAGGAAAAGAGCTAAATGACAAGCTCATAAATATTCTCACTTTTCTGTTTCCTTTCACCCTTTTCTATATGCAGAAATAAATTTTGTATAGGTGTCATCACATCTTAGATACCATTTTATATTCTGTTCTTTCTTTAATGGGATATTTTATAGTTTTCCATGTCGCTTCACAGCCTTCCCATTTGTCCTTTCTGATGTTTACAGAATCTTCCATTATGTGTGTATGCCATTAGCAGTATCCCTATCTTTCTACCCCTTAACTTTTTCCCAGTTTTTTTTTAAAAGATACTGCTACCCCCAAATGTGTTCGTGCATACAGTTTTAGTCTTCTGCTGAATTTTTCCTTCAGATAAATTCCCAAGAGTGGCATTACTTGGTCAGAGGCTATGAACGTTTTACAGCTCTTGAAGTTACTGCCAAACTTGCAGTCTGCTTTTTTGCTTTGGTGGGGCCAGGGGCGGGGGGGGGTGGGGACTTTAAGAAGAACACCGTTGTAGGCAGAATTTCTCTTGAAGGTCAGTCCTGAGTACATCTTTTGAGACTAAACAAAGGGGCTATGTATGCAGTAAAGATAAACGGAGAGGACAGGTTTGCACCTGGGATGATTAGCTCACAGTTTCCTGGGAAAAGCAGAATCGTGCCCTGCAAAACTTGGGAAGTAGGGGACTTTACTGCCTTTTGTCTGACCCTGCGGTTGCCAACCATTTGCCAGGCGGCAGGCACCATTGTGGGTGCTGACCGTACCACATGTGTAGCACACTGCAGCTGGCAGAAGGTCTTCAGGTAACATCATCTTAATTAAGCCTGACAATAATCCATGGAAGTAGATTTTATTATAATCATATTTTTCTTTCAATTTATTGTGCAATATTTAGGACACACAGAAAAGGGGGGACCTGGCTGGCTCAGTCCGTAGAACATGCAACTCTTGATCTCAGGGTTGTGAATTTGAGCCCTACATTGGGTCTATAGATGACTTAAAAAATAAAATCTTGGGGTGCCTGGGTGGCTTAGCCGGTTAAGTGTCCGACTTTTGATTTCAGCCCAGGTTGTGATCTCAAGGTGGTGAGATTGAGCCCCACGTCAGACTCAGTGCTGGGCATAGAGCCTGCTCAAGATTCTCTCTCTCTCCCCTCTGCCCCTCCCCCACCAAGCTCCCTTCCCCCGCTCTCACACACCCACGTGCATATGCACGTGCACACTCTCTCTTTCTCTTTAAAAATAAAATAAAATCTTTAAAAAAGAGACACACAGAAGGAAATGAAGAATACAATAAAGACTTGTATGTCTACCTCCCCATTTTGCTAGAAGGACATTGAGCCTCAAAGAAATGAGGTCACATGGCTAGTAAGTAACAGAACCAGACCTGAAGCCCAGCTCTGTCTGGCTGCACGTCCAGTGCCCTTTGCTCTATATTGTGGTGCACGGAGATGAGACGCCTGCAAGTTATAATCCAACTGAGATGCTGGCAGTTTTCATGGTTGTCGTTTGTAAATACGACACACAGAGCCAGAAGGGACCTTAAAGGTCGTTAAGTCTGACCTCCTTCTTTTAAAACAAGCCCTAAAGAGGGAGGGACTCACCCAGCTCATACACAACTAGCCAGCCGGGGGAAGAGTGCAGATCTCCGGGTCCCTCGGCCTCCTTTGATTTAGGGCAAGAGAAGAAATGTCTGGATCTTGCTTCATTTTACTAATTGACTATTTTTTTGTTTCTGTTTTAAGGAAATAACTTCCCTAACAAAAATTTCCCCAGCTGAGGTTTAGGAGAATACTTACCTTGATGAGCACTGAGTAACACGTAGGACTGATGAACTGCTGAACACTCTTGTATGCCTGAAACGAATATAAAGCGATATGTTAATTATACTGGAATTTTTTAAAAATAATATATATATATATATATATATATATATACACCCAACTGAAAAAAATAACTGTAAGAAAAATGAGACACCATTGCTTGATTTCCCTTTGGAAGGATGTCTTCCATCTCACAAGAGTTATTGTTTTACATGTAAATATACTTAGAGATAAAAAACCCTGACTGAGATAAGTAGGGCCAAGCCCTTCTCTCAGGAAAGAGACTTTGGTATCTAATTGCTGAGGGAGAGCAAAGTGATTGGTACTCAATGCGAGTAAGTCCTTTCTGATTAGAGATGCAACATCACTCTGGGGTAGGAGGACAAAATCTCTGGGACTTTGAGAAAATCACTTAAAATAAAATAGGAGATCATAATATTCAACATGGGGATCCTTTTCTGTATTGTTTTATAAAATACGAGATACAGGTGTTCATGTCTTGCTACATTGTAAAATGCCTGCAGCTCCTCTTTCTGGGCCTCTTCCCTTCTTGTTGACTTTTCCATCTCCACAGCAGGAAGACGTGTATTTTGTACAGGGTGCCAGGCGTAGGTCAATAGGTGTTTCAAGGGGGGCCACAAACAAGGAAGAGAAAAGCCGGATTCCTCTCAGTGCTGGTTAGCATGAAAACATAAGAAATGTGCTTTGTGCTGGATCTCATGGGGCAGCCTTTGCATTAGCAAATGGAACTAACAGGACCCCTCCCCGTCCACCTGTTAAGATGCGAACATTAATTCGTTTGCCTGGATGTGTTTCTCTATCACTCTGATAAAGAGTTGCTTCCTGACCAGGCTTTTGTAGGACGATGTATGCAAAGTAATTACCTCTCTGTCATTCATTCAATGTGACTGTGTGCCAGGAACGGTGTGCTTCCCCTAAGCCGGTACTCCCAGAAACTGCCAGAAAATTAAGAACAATTATTATCTTCATTTTATAAGGAAACGGGGCTCAGAAATTAAGAGGCTAACTCAGGGGAACACAGCGAGAAAGTGGCAGGACTGGGATTCAAAGCCTGGTGCCGTTTGATACCAAAGGCTATGAGTGACCTCTAAGAGGAAGGCACTTGGATTGTAAAATGCCATCCCAACTGGTGGAAGAAGACATGGGCCTCTACTCGAGATTCAGAGCCTCTTACGATGGGGATGCCTGGGGCACCTGGCTGGCTCAATCAGCTGAGCATCTGCCTTCGGCTCAAGTAATGATCTCAGGGTCCTGGGATCGAGCCCCACATAGGGCTCCCTGCTCAGCAGAGAGTCTACTTCTCTCTTTCTCTCTCTCTCTCTTTCTGCCTCTCCCCACCCCCACTCATGCTTTATCCCTCCCTTTCTCTCTTTCTCAAATAAATAAATAAAATCTAAAAAAAAAAAAAAAAATGAGGTGCCTGGTTGGCTCAGTCGGTAGAGCATCTGACTCTTGATCTCAGGGTCATGAGTTCAAGCCCCATGTTGGGTGTGGAGCCTACTTTTAAGAAAAGAAAAAAGCAAAAACAAAACAACAAAGTCTCTTAAGATGTCACCACCTCCTCAACTTGTCCTTTTCTCTCCCTCTGCAGAACGACATGGGTTAAAAGAACCAAAGAGAGTGGAGGAGCTATGCAACAAGATCACAAGCAGCTTGAAAGACCACCAGAGTAAGGGACAGGCCTTGGAGCCCAGCGAGCCCAAGGTCCTGGGCGCGCTGGTGGAACTGCGCAAGCTCTGTACCTTGGGCCTCCAGCGCATCTTCTACCTGAAGCTGGAAGACTTGGTGTCTCCACCTTCCATCATCGACAAGCTCTTCCTGGACACCCTGCCTTTCTGAACAGGAGCAGCTGGAGCGGGGAGCCGCCTCAGTGGCCAGCACCTTCTTGCTAAGCAGCAGAGGAATGGGTCTGGACACCTACCGTTTTCTGTCCTTCCTTAAGAGGAGAAGCAGCTCCTGTAGAAAAGACTTTTTTTTTTTTCTTTCTGGCACTTTTCCTTACAACCTAAAGCCAGAAAACTTGCAGAGTATTGTGTTGGGGTTGTGTTTTATATTTAGGCTTTGGGGTTGGTGTGGGAGGGGAGGGTATAGTTCATGAGGGTTTTCTAAGAAATTGCTAACAAAGCACTTTTGGACGATGTTATCCCAGCAGGAGAAAAAAAAAAAAAGGATAATACAACTGTTTTAAAACTTTTTGGGGAATACAATTAGAGTTGCTTTGTATTTAAAAACAAGAACAGCCAAGGGTTGTTCGCCAGGGTAGGAGGTTTCTTGACGTTGATCTTTAGAATACACTTCCTGTATCAAGGGTATATATGTGATGCAAATGAGGCAGAAATTCTTTCTTCTTAATTTCTCTCTTCCTTTATTTTATTTTAACAAAAGGTGAAAGATGACGATTACCTAGAAATCAGACATAGCAAAATGATAACGGCTGTTCGTTTCCATATACAAGTGCAATTTTTAAAGTGCTGTCTTGCTGAATCGTGTTTATTAACTCTCCTTTATTTCGTATGGAGATAAAAAAAAAAGGAGGCAGTCGTGTTGGCAAATGACACATGTTAATTTTCCTAGCGAGGCTTTGTCCATCTGTAGAACCCTTCTGAGGTACAGTCCATCCAAGACTTTGGGTCATTCTAAATGGATCCAGATCTTTGTCCAGCTGTCCTGCAAGGGGCTCAGATCACAAAATAAAATGCATACAGCCATCTCAGCTGTGTTCTGTCAATCCAGACAGAGTTCCCTAAACTTGCTTCAGTTAATAGCAGCTGGCCGACATGTTCATTCACAAGCCCCAGGAGCTTTCAGTGAGTCTCAAGCGTTTGATCCCTAAATAAGAACACACAAAGAGGTAGGAACTGATCATACAGGGTAAACACCAGAGGTAACAAGATTTTTAAAATCTATATAATTTAATTTCTGTTGTTGGTTACAAAGACAATTTTGGAGAGCAAGCGAGTCTTATTTAAAAAAATAATAGTATGAATGTGACTACTAGACAGGATTAGTGGGCTGCGTTTCAACATTCCGTGTTCGTACTCCCCTTTTGTATGTTTATACTGTCGATGCCATATTACTATGAGATAATTTGTTGCATAGTGTCCTTATTTGTATAAACATTTGTATGCACGTTCTATTGTAATAGCTTTGCCTGTATTTACTGCAAGACCACCAGCTCCTGGAAGCTGAGTTACAGAGTACTTAAATGGGGTGTTCACAGTGACTTGGATACACCAATTAGAAATTAAATAAACAAATATATATATAAATATAGCAGGTTACATATATATATATTTATAATGTGTCTTTTTATTAACCATTTGTACAATAAATGTTACTTCCCATGCAGTTATTTTATGATTCATTTGCAGTGACTTTTAAGGCAGTACTGTTTAGCACTTTGATATGAAAATTTTGCTTATGTTTTGCTAAATTCGAATAATGTTTGAAGATTTTTAGGTCTAAAAGTCTTTATATTATATATTCTGTATCAAGTCAAAATATCTTTGGCCATTTTGCTAAGAAACAAACTATGAATGTGAAACTGATGTCACAGTAGTTTCTGTTAGCTTTAAATCATTTTTGCTTTAGTCTTTTTCAAGAAAAAAATAACAAAACTATGCTGTTTATATTGTCATTAAATTATACAATCAAACAAATGCCAAATGAATTGCCGAATTGCTGCAAAGGATAACCCAGATAGCAAAGCATATATGTTCCCCCCCCAAGAGTCATTCTGATATTTGATCATGTATTATGTTTGTGTGTGCTTTTATGGAAGATTATTATTTTTATATCCAGGTGATAGGGTCTGCAATGTTAGGCTCTTGGGACATTAGACTTGTCAACTGCTCCCCCACCCCTTCAAGGAGAAAACTGGGACCCAGAGAAAGTAAAAATTGCCCAAGGTCCAACAGGCTAGTACCAGAATCAAGACTAGGACCTAATTCTCCTTTCCATAGTGTTTTTTATTCAACTTATTGCATCGATAGGAAAACAGGCTTTTAAAAATAACCACTAATATTTACATTTTACCTGGTAACCATGAGTAAAGTAGTACTTTTGCATTAATTTTTTTGAACTTATATACAAACATAATAAACATTATTAAATATCAGGAAAGCTAACATTTTGTACAAGGTAGCTTCGGACCAAATTCAAATTGAATTTGAATAAATTAGAAATGTTGTGTATACATAACCCTTTTGTGCACCATTAGTATTGGAAAGTTATTCCTTGTTTTCTGTCATGTCCATAAAAGAAAAACAAAACAAACAGAAAAATCAGAGCCCTGGAGAAATGCTGTTACTTTTCATTTTTAAACCCATCAGATTAAAAGAAAAGACTTTTTAGCCGTGATTGGTTGGCAGAATGAAGGTTTTTAGTTATAGGTCCAGACACTAGTGTTGAAAATAAAGGTTATAGCCAGTGTTCTTCTGTCTTCCATAGTTGTAAGAACTATGAGAGCCTCCCACATAATCCATCAATTCAACTCTCTTCTTTTGTCTTAACGTTGACACACAAGTTTATACATACAGAGTGGATGACCAAACTAGCTCAGAAGAGGACAGCAAGAATTAAAGCAGGTGATTCTTCCCTTGTGGGAGAGCTCTCTCAGTGTGAACATGCCTTCTGTGGGCAGAAATCAGGAATCCACCAGCTGTTAATGGAGAGTGCCTTGCTTTCATTTCAGACAGCAGAGTTTTCCAGAGCTTCTCTGCTCTTCTAACAGCATTGCTCCTTAGTGTGTGTTAACCTGTGGTTTGAAAGAAATGCTCTTGTACATTAACAATGTAAATTTAAATGATTAAATTAAATTACATTTTATCAGTGGCTACCGATGTGTTGAATAAGCATGCTTCATTTAACAGTATTCTCTTCATCATGTATGAAATGGTATTTGCCGTGAGCTCTTAAACACATCCACAAATGGATTTTTTTTAAGGCTTACTAATGCTGAAAAATTAATAGGCATTCTGGATTGGAAATATATTAAACCTCACTGATTGGGAAGAAGGACATTCTAAATTCAATAACCGTGTATTGACTACTTCCTGTGGACAAAGCACTGCTGTGTGCTCTAGGAGATACAAACATGCAGAGTGTTTGAAGCTATTTTCTTTCATATATATGTGTGTGTGTGTGTGTGTGTGTGTGTGTGTATACATACATATATGAATATGAAATATATATATTTAATAGAGCCTAAAATATTCTTTAAGGGTATGAAGGATCCATTTCTATATCAAGATTTTACAAGAATCAGGATTAGAGTTCTCCAAGATTGATCAGTACTCTTTGCCTTTGCCTTTTTGCTGACACCATTATCCTACATTGCCTAGGAAGCCCTCTTTGTGGGCAATGCAAATGCAACTTTCCTTCAACTCCGCCCCAAACATCATATATTCAGGATTAGGGCAAATGTATTACTTGTGTGTGTGCTGACGGGTCCAAAAAAGAAATGTGGAGCTCTACTTAGTTCATCAGTTCATACACAAAGAATTTTCTGTGGCATCTAAGTACTATGTTCAGTCTAGGGGCCAAACCCTTCTTCTTGCTTCTCAGCAGTGCCTTCATTTCCTGAACTATATACAGTGTGATTAGTAAGAAAAGAATGAGAGATATGGTGGAGCTCCATCTTGCATATGGCTTTAAATACAGGTGCTTAGCAAAAGTTCACTCCAGAGGCAGAAGTCTGGTTTGAACAAGGAGGGAAGTGGGAAGTTCAGGACTAAAGGGGCAGATGTCTGTAGTTGAAATTTCCTAAGTTCAATGCACAAAGACAACAAAGGAAGCTAATTGTTGCCTTTTTTTTTTTAATCTGATGCACAGTTCAGTGATGTTAAGTACATCCCCACTGTTAACCAATGGCCAGAGCTCTTTTCATCTCACACAACCGAAACTCTGTAGCCATTAAAAAATAATCACCAAGGGGGAGGAGCAAGATGGCGGAGGAGTAGGAGACCTAATATCATCAGGTTCCTGGATTTCAACTAGATAGTTATCAAACCATTTTGAACCCCTACAAACTCAAGAGGAGGTCAAACGGAAGAAGAGCAGCAATTCTAGGAACAGAAAAGCGACCACTTTCTGGAAGGTAGGACATGCAGAGAAGTGAATCCGAGGCAATATACAGGAAGATAGACCATGGGGGGAGGGGCTAGCTCCCAGCAAGCGGTGGAGCAGCAGAGCACAAAATCAGAACTTTTAGAAGTCTGTTCCATTGAGGGACATCGCTCCAGAGGCTAAGTAGGGGGCAGAGCTGTCATGGAGACAGTATGGTCTCAGGACCTGCCGGGTCACAGAAAGAACAGGGGTGTCTGAGTGTGGCAGAGCTGCCAGGTATCATAGCAGGGAGGCTGGCTGCAAAGACAGAGCCAAGGAGTGAGCTCTCAGGTCGGGGTTACCTTAAACTGTGATCCCAGGCACAGTTCAGCCACTGATCTTCGAGCAGGGACCCCACAAGTGGCAGATCCGGAGAGACCCCCCACCTTCCTCCTCCGGGAGGAGCAGCACAGGAGTGTGCATCAGGAATCTGCTAGGTTTGGGGACTCCAAACGGAACCAGGGACCAGAGATAGAAATGCTCAGTCACAGACCGGGTGAGCACAGAGTGCAGCTGGAGACCAAGGAGACGGGAAGGATTGACTGCTTTTCTCTGAGGGTAGACAGAGGAGTGGGTCCCGAACTCTCGGCTCCTATAGGCTGGAGATTGGGAGGCCACCATTTTCATTCCTGTCCTCCAAAGCTCTATGGAAACGTTCAGGGAATAAAAGCTCCTGAGGGTGAACCCGAGCACATTACTTAGTCCAGCCTCTGGCAAGGGTGGAGCAATTCCACCTCAGGCAAAGACATTTGAGAATCAGGGCAACAGGTCCCTCCCCCAGAAGATCAGCAAGAACATCCGGCCAGACCAAGTTCACCAATCAATGAGAACTGCAAAACTTTAGACCTACAGGAATATAGCACATAGAATTCATGGCTATCCCCCCATGATTCTTTAGTCTTTCAAAGTTAAATTTTTAAAATTTTTTTTCTTATTCTATTTTTTTAATTTTTCCACTTTCCTATTTTAACATTTTTAACTATTTTATCTTATCAATACCTTTTTAAAAATCTTTTAAATTTTTCATTATTATAGTCATATTTTATCCC